TACGGCCCTGACACACAAAAAAGTTGCCACTCACACAAGATTCAGGCGGGTGTACCTGGACAGTCAATCATAGAAAAAGAAAACTAACATGATTTATTGCCCCTATCATTCATCCACATGCAACACCAATCTTGACTGCTGGATTTTTTTACTTCACCACCGTTCATTACTTGACTTTATACGCAAATAAAATTGCATGTATACTTTCGAATAAAAAATTATGCGTAAGAACAGACTTCAAAAATAGACAACAAACAAGAAACTTGTATAATCACTGAGCACTACAAATGTGTGCTATATGCATCACCTATGATTAAAAAAAAATTATTTCTTTTTGTGAAAAGATCAGAGTTGGCATGCTCACACAGTCAAACAACAATTATAGGAAGGAAACGAAGGTTATAAAACTGGAGAAATAATCAATGCGGCGGAACTAAAATGGATCAAGACTAAGTGTGTGAGCATGCCGTTTATGACCCTGTGTCAAGAAGAAGTAATGTGAAATCCCGAGCAGGCGCCCCTCCTATGCTGAAAGATCTGACAGGGTTTGGAGGGAGGTTCTTGCTCGGTTATAGAGTGAAATTTGAGATGGTGGCAAAAGAGCCACTAAGAATAAAAATATTCACACCCGTGGTTATAATGAAATGCTTTAGTGAGTATGCATGCATTCACTACTTCCAAAATAGTGAATAAAACTGAAAATGGCAGTAGGAGATAGCGGGGGGGCTGGTTCTGTCATTGCGCATATTGGTAATATATTAAAAAAAAGAAGGGCGCCACTTGTTCAAGATTGAACTCAAGATTTTTTTAACTGTGGGAGATATGTCTAAGGACATGCTGGTGGTGCTCAGTGATGTGTGTCGGCAAGAGATAGGGGCACTAAATCATTGTCTTTCTCTTTTTTTTTTTTCGAATGTAATGTGTGCCCACATGCCAAGAAGTGAAGTCAGTTGCGCTGTCGTTGTGGCTCTTTTTCATCATGTGTGTCCTGTTGATACACGAGATGGTGGTTGAGGACTGCTGACTCCCAGGTCACGCAATCGAATCGTGGTCACGGGGCTGCATTTTCTATGGAGGCTAAAATGCTTGAGGCAAGTGTGCTCAGATTTAAGTACACGTGAAGAATCCCAGGGGATCGAAATTTCCAGAGCCCCCCACTAAGGCATCTCTCATTCATATTGTGGTTTTTGGTTCATTATTGGTTATTATTGTGTGAGGGCCCTGTCAAATTTTGCGCTGTTTTTCCCTGATTTAAGCTTATCCTCTCAGTGTGGCTCATCTGTTCTATACCATAACAAAGGGCTGTACAGAGGGCATTGTTGCCAGCGGATGGTTGATGGGCCTGTTCCCTGGGACGTTCCGTATGTGCGATGACCTGAGCCTCCTTCCTGGATTCGTTTTGGTGTCTATTTTAGTGTCACTCTTGTCGTTGTGCACTGCAATATCGCAGCATTTTCATTCTCCTGACATCGTTCCTGTGTTGGCGAGTGCCCAGTGCTGCTTCTAATTAGTGGCTTCTTTTTTTTTTTTTGGCTTTGCAAAATTTTCAGTCACCTGTCAAGCTTTTTTTTCCCAGCAATAATAGTTTTTTTAGTGATCAGTGCATTCACCAGTAGCGTGTGTGTTCATCACTTCCCGTAGATGAGTTTCGAAGTCAAGCATACATTTGGGAGAATCAACAAGTAATGTTATCATGCACTGCAAACATGCATTCCGTGGAATAGCAGCTATTTCGGAGATGGACGTTAAGAGTAAATACGTGCTTTGGTTGAACTATTTTGTATTTACAACATAACTAAAGTAGTTTTTTAGCTCCCCTTCGTATTTCAGTGGTATTTTTTTAATTATAAATAACATACTTTCAAAAATGAGAAAATTGATAAAATTTATGTTTTTTTGAGCATTTTTTAGGAGAGCCACGCTGCTTTATTTGACCTTATATTTTGATTATTATTTGCCTCTTAGCACGGCATCATGTGGTAACCCTGGTTGGCATAAATCGAGAACAGAGACAATGTGAGAATAACTCCTGTTCTTGCTAAGCCGGGGTCTGTGTTGTGTCTCTTTTATCATTTTTTATTTCACAGGGTAGCCAGATGATCTGAGAACAGGCTAAGCTCACTGAGTTTATTTGCCTCCTCCACTTAACATCAAAGCAGAACAAGAGGGAGAAGACTTCTCTTTGTCACAGCTGGCTGTGTTATATGTCGTTCTGCCTGTGTTGCGTCAAGCAACGGCAACAGGATACAAACAGGCTGGCTCCTTAATGTGCCATTTCCCCTTCGTGGACACTGATAATAAAGTTGGGGCACTAGCGATATTCTGTTCCTAGTGCGTACTTCTAACACCTAGTGTATCAATCTTTTCACACTTGCTATGCACCCACTACGTGGCCTTAAGGGTGCAATAGCGTGTGCACCTTTTGTAGTAAGTCACTGCCTTGAACTATCAAGTTATTATGCCCGAGGGCAATGTAGCCTTGTAGTACGCATTGTTACGGCAATATGTCGTGTTGTATTGTGGAGCATGTATACAGGATGCGTCCTGTTTGTTAAACATAAAAGTTACTTTCACTGCATTTCAAAGCAGAGGAAGTGTTTTATCTGTATTTACAACGCAGAGGTGTGGCTGTTTGAGCAGCAGACACCCGCTTTGCCACTCAAAAGGACCAAGGTTCGATCGTTACTCAGACCCAGAATTTTATGTTTATTGTATTTGCATCTTTCTCGATTTTTCGGTCATGCAAAGATGATTTTTCGCTCACAAACCAACGACCACCGATGTCGGAAATCGGTGTGAAACATGCGACATTAACGCTATCAACAACGGGCGTTAACAGCAGGGCTGGTGTCATTTAGTAGGATTGAATGAAGTGGGAGGAGTGGAACTTTCTGTGGATAAATCGCACTACGACAGTCTCCCCCTTGGACATGAAAGCCTTCAAAAAAAACAGCTTTGCTGTTAAAAAATTCACAGGGACTAGCGCAGACTAATAACTGACCTCGAACAAAGCATGTACATATATTCCGGATCGTATCGTTGCGAATGAGCAACACGGCACCATACATCCCTTTACATAAAAACGATTAAATCATTACCTGAAAGTTATGCATTGTCTCATCTTGCATAGCAGGTTAATTTCTCCACAGTAATGCAATAACATCGTATCAATGAAGAAGAAATAAGAAGAAACTTATAGAATAAAAGTCACTTGTTAGTCTGTTAAAAGCACAGCTCTTGGGCGCTTTTTCCCTGCGTTTAGTGGCATTGCCGCGGTTGTTGCCGTCGTGGTGAATCTGGCAGACATAAAAAAAATTGAGGTAAGAACACAAAAATATGTAAGTTCAAATGTTATTTGAACCTGGACCTCCTGCATGGCCAGAAAGCCACGGTGGTGCTTGAAGCTTATTTTCAAAAAGGCAGCATGTAGGTTTCATGTCGAGCAATGACACAATGATGATTGCACAACGAGAAAAAGTGCCCAGCCGTAATTGTTCGTTTTTGTCAGCCACATTACCAGAGTGCCTTACAGGTGTATAGTTGCTATTTCACTTACCCCAGAAGAAATTAATGGCTTAGTCAGTGCTGGTATATTTCACAAAAATTGTGATTTATGGCATAGCAAGTACCTTGCAGAAAGCAAAACTTAAAAAACAAGTTGGCCTTGCCCCGACACTGAGCTCTGCTCCGAATTTTCATTAGGCAGTATTGAAATCATTGATGAATTTTTTGTGTTGTGACTCGGTGTACGCGACTTTTTTCGCTATGGCACCAAAGCCCACCATCTCATTAGCACTGAGTTTCCGTGCACTCCCACCAAAGGATGTGAGGCCGGAATCAGTCCACTTGCTAAAATGTTTGCTCCAGCGACACGTCTAGTTTGAGGATTTCTCGTCTCTTCTGAACTTGTGCCTTATTTATACTGTAAAAGCTGGCAATTAAGACTCAAAAGGGACTATAAGTTTGCTCAAGTTAAGCAGAAATAGCGGGCAGGTGCTTGAATGAGTTGACATTGCCCGAACTGTCTGGGCAGATCCCAAAGAAGCCACCCTAAGATCATGAACTAAGCGCTGCTACATGTTTGTGGCTGGTGAGTATTAAGTTCATGGAGCTCTAACAGAATTAATTGACCAGTTCCATGAGCATCGTTCGCAACTTGCCCTAGAGCATGTGAATTCTCACCTGTTGATAAATGCTGCTTTTTTGTTGCTTTGCATACATTTGGTTTGGTTTTGCAATAGATTTCGATCACTTTGGGCAACCTCTGCAAGGAGCAATGAAAACCAGGAATCCCAGTTTGAATTGACCGCTGGGGATATCGATGCATTCGGATTATTTCCCTCTAGAAATACATAGGGCTGTACTGGGACCAGAGCAGCAGTTCGAGTTAATTGTAAGTTCGCAGTACCAACCAACGTGCGCAAAAAGTTATATGGCCAGACGGGGTGCTGCCTCAATGATGGAGCAAGCGAGCATGCCCTCCATGTAATCAACAAAGACGGTGCACATTTTAGCACACATGCGACATCGTATGGCTCTTCACAGAGGTGTGAATTTCGGAAAAAAAAAAGGCAAGGTAACGCAGGAAATTTGGGGTGGTTTTTCATACAGAAGCAGGGTTGTAATTGTGTAAGCGGAATTTAGTCTACCTGCAAGGGCAATATAGAAGGTATCTGATAGTTTGATTAAGTAGACAATGGCTTAAGTACATTTTGCATGCATTGGCAAGAATCGGATTTGTTGGCTTGTATTCCTCAAAGAACAAACAGTTGCAAGAGAGTGCCCATCCTGCCTATGTCTTTCTTCATGTTTCAGTGTGGTTGTGATTTAGGTGTGAAGTTGACTATTGAATCCCGACATACCCTAGCTAGCCCAACAACAGCGAGTACTACTAACCTTTTACTATACTCTCTGGCCTGTGTTTCTTAATGGAATTGCAACAAACAGCAGTATAAACATTGCTGTTGGCTGGCCTTCTTATGCAGTGATGTAACTTGCAGTGCCTTCCGGTGGGTGATCTGCTCCAGCTGTTCCCAGAAGCAGCTGAGCAAAGTGTGGCTGAGGTGCTGGTTTCCGCCTCTGTCCCGTGCTGCTCTTCCAGATGCAGCACCAGTCCATGCGACTTTACCCACACCGGCGTCACCGCGGGCCAAGGCGCGTCCACACCGGCTCAGGGTGAGCATTGCTGGTACTTTAGTCACACAATAAGCCACAGACTGCCAGAAATTGGTAATACGTGTTTGACATGGCTGGAGTATGCCTTTCACTGAATAGGTTCACAACCGTGAAAAACGTGTGTTGGGGGAGTATTGTTGATAAGACATTGTCACGGACGGCCATTTTTGGCGACACCAGCGTCACGGCAATTAACGGGCGCCGTACTCCCTGACTGATCGTGAGAACGGCGGCGCATGAAAGGGAGCCGAGAAGTGCAGAATGGGGTGCTCTTCTTAGAACGTCGCCGCCGGCAGTCGACCCTTTTGTAACTGCGGCGGCGTCTGCAGGTCGTAGAAGGCCGCGGTATACCCCGAACAAGGATTAGACTACGAGACGCACCGGCTGAGAGCCAAACGGTTGACCGTTCCCACGGGGAAAAGCGTGGGAAACGCTCTGGTGGCCAAGCTGTATGACAACAACCCGACAGGTTGTCACTCTCGCTAGTTGAGGGCCCTCTCCCAATTAAAAAAGGGGGTGGGGTCAAAATATTTTTGGGGTGGAGTTTCCATCAATTAAACGCGCATGATTGGACCCAGGTAGAGGTCTCTTGTCCCCAAGGAAGAGAGCGAGGAGACACGAGGGATATTTAAGTGCAGGATTTGCCCTGCTAGGCAGACTAGTCCGCTGACCAGATGGTGTAGAAACAGATCAACAAGCATCTCTTCTAGAAGTTTTTAGTGTGGCTCTGTATCGGCTGGCCACCTAAACTTAGCCGTTCGTCTAGTTGTGACGCGATATTAACGTCTGCAACGTAGACATCGGGACTTCGCCTCGAGTTAGCTCAACCTGCTCGAAGTCACCTGCAAGCACTAGCCTCCCAGAGCCAACCACCGTTGCAACACCGCCGACATCGCAGTCTTGCCAGAAATCTTTTCGACTTCTCACATTTGATCGTCGAGGACACAACGTTGCCGGTCATCACACGTATGCCTTCACCTGTTATATCTGTCGAACTTTCTCCTCCGTCGTTCTATTCTTTTTAGTTTGTGTAGTTGTAATAGTTCTCTCTCGTAAGCTGATTTATTGTTTCTGTTATATATTTATTTAGTTGTATCAAGTGTCGATGTATTTTGTTAGTTGTATTGAAGTGTTGTATTAGATCCCGTGTGCTGCAATATCACTAGAGTAAAGTTTGTTTTGTTTTCTCACGTCTCTGATCTCTTCACTGTCCCTGCTTGCGTACGGAACGAACCAACCTGCTGTCATTCCCGTCGCCGACTTCGCGTTGGCGACGCTAGAGTGGCAGCTTGTAAGAGACATATTATGTTAACTTAAACTGCAATAGAGACGAGACACATAGTAGAGGCAGACAGAATGAATGCAGACTAAGACTGATTTACATCACACAGCCTTGTCTTTCCGAACAATGCGAGTATGCACATTTAGGGCAAGTGAAGGGCCAAAGAGCTTCCTGAAAGCCTCACAGACATGGCCCGATACATGCACCGACAGAGCATCTGTGTATTTTTTCAAGAAAAAACCTTGCATTTTCTTGCTTAGATAGGGGTCAACCCCAATGTCCAAAATTGTTGTAAAGAAAAATATTTGCATTTCTGTGTTGTGAACATGCTGCCGCAAGAATTTTGTGAATACATACTATATTAAGGAAGTTAAAGGGGCTGGAACATTGCGTTAAGCTGATTTAAAATTTTTGCGCAGCCTCGTCACCCTTCTCCTTCAGAGGGGAGAAGATGGCGTGGCCCGTCGTTGTGACTCCGCCTTCTTCAGCAATGTGACAAGACATCAGTGATTGACGTCATCGGTGATCTCGATCAGTCGCAACGCACTTTCGCTTGCTGCGATGCCTGGCTATTTATTGTTTACCCGGAGCCGGTACTTCTCCGCAGCCCAGTCGCTTGATTTGCAGCCGACAACGATTTGTAGCAAAACTGCTTTCCAATACCTGGACATGAAGTTTGTCCTGATTTTTCTGAAGTTCGGTTTCTATGGAGCAGACTGCCGCACCATCTGGGAGCAAGCAACACAAAACACAAATAATGCGCTTAATAGTGGGTGTGCTGATTAACAGGTGGCATGCCAGTCTGCTCACTTCCAAAAAATGGGTCAGTGAAGCGTCCTGATTTCAATGCATGGAGCCTATGGAGAGGTCTCGCAACTCATATGGTTGAATCGCTCTGTCATAGCTGTGGGTGGGAACAGGAACTGTCGTTGACTTCACTAATGTTTCTTGAGACCTGGTTTAAACCAATCGACGAGCTGTGTGCAGTGTCACGTCGCCGATCGCCGAGTTGTGGTTGCTGCGCATGCAAGGAGCATTAGTCAGGCATAGAAAAGGAGTGCGGAAATTATTTTTCGAAATGGAGGCTCGGTGTGGCGCGCAGCTCTGTAATATTCACAAGGTGTGATCACAGCGGTCTACTCTGTGAATTACTGAGCTAGTTTGAGGGGTGTAAAAAAGAAGTCTGAGCCTGTTGACTGGCCCTTTAAGGGGGGGTGGGAGTGTAATATCATCACACCGTCGTGACGTTTTTTTGTGCGTGCGCATTCTAGGAGGCGAGGCCTTGTGATTTCATCATCATTTGTTAGCTTGCATTCGTTCTGTTTGCTTCGACTCTGGTGTCTTGTCCTGAGTGAAGTTTAAGTTTACATAAAGCAGTGTTCAAACGTCACTGTCATGTTTTATCAAGCCATGATGGCCAATGCAGGAGAGTTGTACCAACAGCATCGTGTATTGCTTTTCTATCACCATAGACAGATTGAACAACTGCTGAGAGCTCAGAAGGGCTGTAGTGTTGGCACTGAAATATTGGATTGAATTTAACCTTAACGACCTTTTCAAAGTCACTAGCGGGCATACCAGAGGTGATCATAGGTGCTTGTGCAGTAATTCTAGAAGAAACCTTGGTAAGCACTTGTGGAACACCCTTCCTATATACTGTTATGTGGATTTAAGCTGCTTGTAGAGTACTTTACTCATGTCTGTGGGGTCTCGAAATGGCGAGCGCGCCAGCACGTTCTTGGAGTCAACTGACACAGTATACGCAGTCGGAACAAATCCATTAGCACATACATTTATTTAACTAATTTTAGAACGACGATATCGTCAGCGGAATTATTATAACATTAATCATGATCAATACGCTAAGACATCTTTATACATTATTAAACAACACTCAACAACAACATGACAAACACGGCAGTGTTGGCAACGCCTGACTGACCACAAGGGCCCCCGGCAGACGACCCATGGTTCCGTGCACCAGGGGTTCACTACGAGGGATAACTGTTTGCGCCAAACGCCCCCAGCCAAAGAGACTTGCTCAACTCTCTCTGCCACCACCAAGGCTTGCCTGCCGCTAGGGGTCACCGCTGGTGCTGTTTTTCTAACCATGATGATGATTATAGTGGTGGTCAACTCTCGCAAACACAACGCCAGCTACCGCTCAATAGTTGTGACCCCGAAATACAGCTTCTGTGTGAGACACATGCGCCACGCAGCGCGAACAACTTTACATGGGGTGTCAGCACCCTCACATGTTTTAGTTGCATCAGAATCAGATTTGATTGCTACGTGGTGCAAGGTTTATATTATAAAATGCAATACAAGCAAGAGGTTCCGGAGTTGGAAACTAATGTTAAGTTCTTCTGTCAAGGCAAGTTTTTCTGTTTGTTTTAGCAAGTTTGTTCCCATGACAGTGTGCTCAAACATTCCTATGAGAGTCTGTGTGGATCCAGAGCTCAAGTCACTCCGAGAAGCAGAAACAGTTGCTCTCCCAGAATTGGCACTGGAACTCTGTGTAGCACATTTCCTTGCTTTGGGGTGCAGCCGGTTGAGTTGTGGTTGTAACGGCGAATGGCAGGGCAGAGCATGCGGCACAGCTACAATCTGGAAGGCCATGGCATAACTTCAGCACAAACCAAGAATAGAAGAGATGCTTGCTAACAACTGCTTTTATTCTTCTCGCATATAAATGCCACAACTACCTTGCATGTGCACTGGTAACAAGACATATTGCATATGTAAAAACATATTAAAAATGCACATGCATGAATTCATATTTGGAGGGTTATGAAGATATACAGGTACAATAGACACATCACTGATTGTGTCAGTGATACATCTATATCATTGTACCCCCATGCACTTAATATAAATCAATTGAAAGTGGCACTAAACAAGACCCTACACAAACTCATAGTTTTGTAGTGGTCATGGCGTTTCATAGGGTTCTGCAGCACTTGTTCACGTAATGACTATCTAAAAGGGCATCTTGCTTCATGAATCGACATCCGACTAAATTTTCAGAATCCCTGCAGTACAAGCGAAGTTCCAGAGATTTTTGACATGCTTTCAGTGCTCTCTCTCTCATTTTGTCCCAGTGAGCCTGTTGAAAGCGATGCGGGAGTGGGGAAAGGGGTGAAAGGGAGCAAGACCCTCCGTCAGTGCCTGTCATGGCCTTGAGCACTTTCTGATCATTTTTGCTGTGAAAGCTGCGCATGGCTGGAGAAACGAAAAACCATTCAGTATTGGTGTTGTAGTGAGATGTATCCCGAAGGAGTACGACCACTAGCGTGGGTCCGGTCTTAGCGAGCCGCAGGGCACGCGTTAACCGTCGCCATGGCGAGAACTCGATACTGCTCAAAGTCGCAACACTTTATTGTCTGTGGCAAGACCAAACCAGTACAGCCCGTTGCAAAGGCGCGGCGGGAAAAGCAAATAGGCTTATCCATGCCACGGGCATAAAAGTACTACCAGGGTGCCATGAGTCACGTCTGTGCAGTAAGGTGATCACGGAGACACCGGGACCAGGCCCGGTGCCCGAGAAAGGCAAAAGACTGGCGTTGGCTTCGGAAGCGGACGGGTCGGCATAGCTAGGCCACGCACTAGGACACCGTACCACCCTTCGGCCGTGCGTACGTAGTGGGGCAACAAAAAGTGAGCGTTCGCCTCGGGCGCGATGGCGCCGTCAGTCGATGGTTCAACGAGGCCCCCGGCGACGGGAGTTGACGGGACGGAAAAGATTGCGTGGCTCACCGTCTACAGTCTGGGGGTATCTATCTGCCGCTTCCGACGCAGGCGCGGAAAACCTCTCGGGAGACACCGCGCGGCGCCATAGTCAACATTTGACTCCGTGGTGGGGGGGTTTAATACGTCCTACTCCGCTGTCCCAGCATGGCAGACAGCAAAGGAGGGAAGACATGTCGGGACATGAGAAAGGCAGAAGAGGCGGCAAAGCCCACGAAAAGACAGCGGGCTAGCCTCAATTCCCACATTCCCCTCTCCTAAATTTGCCCTTTACCGGCCTGCAAAAGGCAGCCGGACGTCACCCATGCAGTTAAAATGACGCTGCTATGAGCGACTGCTAACCTCAGTCCAGCCCTGTTACTGCTGCTAAAAAATGATGACAAAGGAGAAACAAAAACATAAATAACAAAATAAACACATGACACTCTAAAAATAATTGCGAAAGGGAGCACAGGAAAGTAGTAGTAGTGTTCGTGGTGCTGAAGCGGGATAGCGTCCACCGTGCGGAGGGGCGGAAGAGCGTGACAATGTTCGCTAGGTGCGATGCCTGAGTGCGAGGTCAGAGGCATGGAAGAGGGCTCTCTGATGGCTCGTTGCTGTTCTTGTTTAGCCGCGAGTCCGACGGACGCCGCTTCGATTGTGGTTCAAAGGCCCCGCATTTCTGGCTTGATGACGAAGCTGGAACGTTGCGGGAAGCCGGGCCTCTCCAGTGATCAGGGAGGCCGAACCAGAATTGGCTGTGAGGTACCATGGCGTTGGCCGGCAGTATATAGCTGCTTTCAGCTGGCCTCCCGCAGGAGCCATGGTGGGAAAGGCAGCAGGGCTTCTTCGACGACGGCCGAGAGCAGAGCACAGCCAGACTGTCTGACGTCAGTAGGTCAGTGCCCCAAGCACCTCTAGTGTCCGCGTCGATGAGGGGAAGCCACGACGCGCACTCTTCATGGCACGCACTGAAGCGTCGCGCACTTACACACGCACAGAAGCACACACGCACACACACCACCGACGGCTGCGCGAGCGTAGGCGCAAAGCGTCCTTCGTCTCTCTCTTGATGCATATGCACCAATACTCAAGGTCAAACACAGCTCCCTTCGCGGTAGACGAAATGAACACGGGAAAAAAAAGTAAAGATAGAGCAAAATGACACTCTCTGGCCAAAAGAAAGTAAAAACATAAATTACAAATAACACTTAATATCAGACAAAATAAACATAAAATACACATGAACACTTAAAAAAATATACACTAACAGCAGACTGGGCGGGATCGACTTCTTTGCGAGAAAAGGCCGTAAAGAAGCTAACCTATACTGAGGCTAGACAGTAAACTGAGGGCCTTCGGTTGCGGAGAAATCCGCCGTCCGGCGCGATATCACAAAAGTGACCGCTTCCTCAGATTGTACCGGTGCGGGGGTCCGAATGCAGTCTGCCGCTCCGGGTGTGCCCCCTTGCTTGCACAAAGTGCCGCAGGGCTCTGGCGCGAGCTAGTCAGACTGTGAGACAAAGGGTTTCAGGTCTGCGATATGGGCACGGCTGAGTTTTTTCGAATGGGGATCTTTCAGCAAGTACGCGAGTGGAGTGCAAGCTTTCTCCACGCGGTACGGAGCAAGCCAGTTAGAAGCGAGCGAGGTTTATAACCCCTTACTGGCATCGCTAAGAGCGTGGTTACGCTTCAGGACAAGATCGCTTACCTCATAAACTAGGTCGTGATGCTTGCGGTCATATTGGGCCTTTTGCTGAGCCCTGGCCAACGTCAAACTTTGCATTGCTTTGCACAAAGCTCGACAAAGCCTGTCCTTAAGTGTCGACGCGTAAGTAGAGCAGTCTGCCGGCGCCTCCTCGTCCTCGAGCTGGCATTGAGTGACGCCGGTGACCGGATTTGCCAACTCCCTTCCAAAATTTAAGAAGGCGAGCGAGAAACCAGTTGAGCAACTCTCGGATGTTCGAATAGCGAACGCGAGCTCACTCAATTGGTCTGCCCAATCCCTTTGACTTTCGGCAAAGGCCGCCAACATCGGTTTGAGCATATGATTGACGCGCTCCGTCAAATTGGACTGGGGATGGTAGGGTGAAGTGGTGAAGTGATCAATTCCGAGTTAGCGGCACCTGACAGCAAACACCCGGGCGGTGAAGTACGAAGCATTGTCCGTGATGAGCCTTTCCTGGAAGCCGAACCGGCAAAACACTTCCTGCAGCTTCTCAAGCACCGCTCGCGCTGTCACCTTCTGAAGAGGGAACAATTCCACCCATTTTGAAAAGTGATCAACGACTACCATCAGGTGAATGAACCCCTGCTTACTTCTGGGAAATGGTCCCATCAGATCGCAGGTGGCCACTTGCCACGGACTCTCACTGACCATCATTTTTTTCATCAGACCGGGCGGTTTGCCACCCCTTAATTTTAGCGTTTGACAGACGCGGCAAGAATGGCAATAGCGAAAAATGTCTCGCTTTATGCCGGGCCAGGTCACAACGCGGCTCAGTTTTGCAAAAACTTTCGAGCCACTCAGGTGACCGGCCATGGATTCATCATGAGGGGATCGCAACAGTGCGGCTCTCAGACTTTTGGGCATTACCACCTTAAACAGGTCGATGGACTCGTGGTCAGTGGCTATATACTTCAGCAGGAGCCCGTCATGGTCCAGCAAGTATGAATTTGCCGGGTACTCAGCGACACACACTGGTTCGAGCCCCCTATTTGCGCCCGCTGCAGGGCAAGCAGCGTCACGGTGCTCTGTCTCGTTGAGACAGCCGCTATCGGGGCCCGCTGCAGGACAAGCAGCGTCATGGCGCTCCATCTCTCGTCGCACATTTCCGTCGCACATTTCGCGACAAAACGGGTCGCTTTGCTGGGCCTTCAGAAGCTCTTCTCTGCTGAAAGCGACGCCCATTCTCCCAAAATGGGGGAGTCTGGTATCGCGCCCACTCAGGACCGCAGCAACAACCGCTTGAGTCGGCGTCACGTATTCGCTCTCGGCCTCCAGGCCTTCGGAAAGCTCCCCCGCTCGGCCGCTTCGCGGTGCGCCGCTTACCTGGTTAGCAGCCAAGGTTTGTCCGCATGGGCACTCACCCTTCTCGCCGAACGGCGACGAAGCTGCTGTTTTGCCCCCGACGCTTGCATGTGGTAAGGCACCGCTAGCGGCTGTCGCACTAGGATCAAGGTTCTCGGCAGACAATGGGGCACGAGATAGCGCGTCAGCTACCATGTTGGTGCTCCCCTTTCGATACTGCACTGAAAAGTCATAGTGCTGTATCAGGAGAGCCCAGCGCGCCAGCTTGCCGGCAGGCTCACGGAGCCGCATCAGCCAGCTGTGTGCACTGCGATCCGTTTGCACCACGAATTTCGTCCCATCAAGATAGACGTCAAATTTCCGCAGTGCAAACACGATGGCGAGGCGCTCTTTTTCAGTCACTGAATAATTTTTCTCCACAGAGACCAAGGAGCAGTTGGCAAAGGCCAATGGCTGCAACACGCCCTCGTATTCCTGTAAGAGAACAGCTCCTAAACCCAGATCGCTCGCATCAGTTTGTACAACGAACGGTCTGGTCAGGTCGGGGAGCTTGAGCTGAGCTGTCTCCGCTATGGCATTAGACAGTCGGCAAAATGCCTCCTGCTGCTCAAGTCCCCATTTTCACTCAGCAGACTTACCCAAGAGTTTGCTCAAGGGCGCCTGCAGTCGGGCACAGGACGAAATGACGGAACGGTAAAAGTTGACCATTCCTAAAAAGCGGCGAAGGCTACGTACGTCCTTGGGCACGGAAAAAATCGAGAATAGCTCGAAGTTTCTCTCAATCTGGCTCTATGGAGCCTTCGCCCAGCGTAAATCCGAGTAACTTAACATGGGTCTGCGCGAATTGGACCTTAGCGGGATTTAATGTCATCTCGGCGGTCCTCACCCTCTCGAATACATCGGCAACATGGCCCAAGTGCTCTTCCAAGGTTCGTGAATAAATCACGATGTCGTTGAGGTAGCACATGCAGTATGACCACTTTGCTTCTCCGAGGACGCGGTCCTTGAGTCTGAAACGTCACAGGAGCATTGCAAAGACCAAAGGGCATACGAGTAAACTCGAACAACCCTCTGTGGGACGTGAACACAGTTTTACACTGGTCACGGTTACACATCCGGACCTGTAGGTAACTTTTAGAGGTGTCAAGCATGGTGAAGTACTGTGCATCACTCAGGTTACCTACGATGGAGTTTATCGTGGGGAGGGGATAGGCATCCTTACGAGTCACTCCATTTAGACGGCGATAGTCGACGCAAAGGCAATGACTGCCAATTTTCTTAGGCACCAACACAATTGGAGACGCCCAGGAGCTAGACGAGCGGCGAATAATGCCAGCCGCAAGCATGTCGTCTAGCAAACCATCGATAATCTGCCTGGGGTTACACTTCAAAGGAAGCGCTTCACCAGTTTCGATCACATGGCTCACTAAATCGGTGCAGCCAGGTTGATCGGTGAAGAGCTCGTCATACTGACGTAACAGTGTCGAGAGACGAGCCTTCTGTGCATCATCCAACTGAGTCGCGCTGGCGACCAAAGGATGTAGTGCCTCTTCGTGTCGTGTCAGTCGATCCACACAGGTGTTTCGAGCCGATGAGCGCGGAACGCCAGGGTATGACCCCGGAGTTGGCGCAAGACACTGTTGGTTCTGCGCTTCTCGTTCCCGAAGGGGACTGTGAGAGGGCAAATGCGTTGAGCAGGGGCTTGGCCCCGAACTCTGCGCAGGGCACGTTTCCGAGGCTTCTGCGGCAAAGGCAATAGTAAGCGCCGGCGGGCTGATGAACGGCTTGAGTTGGCAAAAAGGGCCATCACAATAGCCGCCATTCGCAATGTCCACAACGATACCAGTTTTAAGGAGGAAGTCCCGACCGAGAATCACTGGAATAATGAGCCCTGGAAGATGAACAAGACGGCAGTGTCTCATTTGATCTCCCCATCTGACAGTCAACCTTGCAGCGCCTGCCGGGTGGGCCACGCCTTTCGCAAGGGTGTATGTCGTTCGGCTGTTCCGAAAGTG